TTTGAAAATATCTTCTTGTTCCCTATGATCTGTTTGGAGAAGAAAATCTTCAGGTTTTCTGAAGAGACTGTAGAAGTCCTGGTCTCTATAGTGGAGATAGTATGTCTAAAAAATGAAGGCATTTAGAAGCCCTGATGTCATTATATATAATAAACTTCAGATCTACAGCATGAAAATTATCCGGACTTTTATTAAAAATTATATTGACTGATGATTTCCACCTCAGTGACTATGTCAATCATAACTTTTTTTAGAAGCCTCTTAATAGTTAAGTTTAGCTGATTTATTCCGGTTCATGGATATTCGATTATTTTTTTTCCCAAAATGAAGGTAGATAAAGGGCTAAGGTGAACGAATTACATTATCCAGTGAAATTCGTGGAAAATGACCGGATCAAAATTGACCATATAGTTCTTGTTTTAACATGTTGCGACCTCTTCTTTTTGGAGTACGTGAAATATAAAGTCTCAAAGATAGAGAAAAATTCAACATTTTAATATTTATCGTGGGAAGTTTTTGTATTCATAATGGCTAAACTATGCCGATAATAATGAAAAAATAATATGCCAATAATATCCCTTCGTCATATTATTTTTCATTATTAACGGCATAGGATAGCCATTATGAATAAAAAAATTTCCCACGATATATCTGAAAATGTAGAATGTTTCTTTAAATTCAATTGCAAAATCCGATCCGGTGGAAATTTTACATTTTTTTCTGCAAAATTTTATGTTGTTGACTTATGTATTGTAGCTGTCGTGAAAGCTGTTAGCTAAGACACAATCCCCATAATTTGCACAGGGTGATTATGTGAATAGTTTAAGTACCAATAGTACTGTACAATCATATACTACAACTCAAAAAATTTCATATGATACAGTCCCCCGTCACACAAAAATATGAAAATAGATTCTTCAATTATTGAATTTCTTCACTAATTCAAAATTGAATTTTTTTAAAATAAACTATTTTCCAATTATCACAAATATTTTTCTTCATAAATTCCATTCTATACCACTCACACACACACTTCATAAATATTTCAAATCCGATTTGCAGGAAATGAAATTAAAAAAAAACAAATTGCACTTTTCGAAAATCAAATTTACAATGTCCAGGCGAAAATCGTCATGCTTCTGCACGTTATGGTCGTTAATAATAGTTTTTTTTGCAATTTTTGGTGATTTATTGAAAAGTTTTGAAAATTGATTCAATGTAAATTGAATGACAAAAACGCACACACACACATACAGATACATCGTCAACATCGCGTCACAGGAATAATTTATTCCTAAAATATTGACACACATAAATATTCGTCGTGTTATGTAAAATTTAATTTGTTCTCTTGTTAAAGGTCTGCATGCAAGGCAGTCATTCAGTGAGCCGCCAGCCAATTGACTGACTGACACCACCACCACCACTACCTTCGCCATCATGGCCCGGGGGCTCATTGGCCTGACAAAAATTGGAAAAAACCAAAAAGTCCAAAACAAATAAAAAGTGTCACAAATTGCTTCTGACAATGAAAAACTTAGCTCGAAAAAGTCCAATAATTTATTACAGGCAACAAATCGTAACTGGGTGGCTGGCCGGCCAACCGAACGGGATACGATGACAGCGGTCGATTGGTAAATTTTCATGCATGCAGACACACACACACACTCACATATGAAAGATGAATGACATTTTATCGCATTTCAGTGCAAATATTAGTTCAAATTTGTTATGTCATTTTGTTTGTCTGTCTGTCGGTCAGTCTGTTTGCCTGACAAATGAAAAATGATTGTACCAGGAATGATATTGTTAAAAATAGTTATTTGTGTAGGTACATTTGTATGTGTGTATATGTGTATTGAGTAGAAGTTAAATATGGGTGGCAAATTGATAAGCGGGTTTCAAGGGTCAATTCTAGGTATTGATTTAGAAACAATACCGCAATTTAGATGAGAATTAATTTTCTGGACATTCCATGTGTAAAATATACAATACGCTAGTCATACATTTATGACGATTTTAAGATATTATGTATATATAGAAGACTTGTACTAAGTCGGACATAACCCGTAGTATACTTCAATCTGTAGAAGAAGGAAGTCTGTAAAATGTTCGGCCGCCAAAATTTCTGCAGAAAATCATCTATATGTAGAAGCCTCGCAAGAGGTCTTCCATTTATAGAATACCTAAAGGTCTTTAATCTGTTAAAGAAAGAGAAAATATATGTAAAATGTCTTCTGCTTATAAACGACCTAAAGAAGGTGGTATACCTGTCGGAAACCTGTCGAATATTTTGTATAGAGGATCTGTAGAAGGCTTGTATAAATTATTTGTTATTCGTACACTAAATTTCCTTGTTTTTGTAGGGTTCTAAGGCCCATATCTTTTGATCCACAACAGATATAGCCACATATCGCACCATTTTGGAAAGAGGGGGTTTCAAAAAAATCGGGGTCCAAGACCCAGTTTTTGGACTGTATCTTCAAAAGGGTTTGAGATAAAACCATCATCACCTCTCAATGGAAAGGTATTTTTATAAGCTATAAAATGATACATTTATATTTTATATTAACCGGATCCTTAGAACCGGATATAACCGGGTACCCGTATCCGAACTTCCGGGTCAAATAACCGGGTAACCCGGAACGTCCCCAAGAAAAAAAGATATTCCCATAATTAGGGTAAAAATACCTACCAGAAAAATCTGATCGTTTTCACTAAACTAGAGTTGTTCCAAATTGTCGACCAGGAGGAATTTTTACCCTTTTAAGAAAATGGAATAACAGACTCTTTGAGTGAGTCTGAGTTTAGTCCCTTAAAATAATCCACCCTGGTGATTGATCTCTTATCAATAAAGATTTTTTTTTTAAGTCATGCTTTTGTGTGGTTATTGCAACATTTTTATAAACGAATGCAGCCAACATTTATTAGCGAAGATTTGGTAAAGAACGTTGTCGCAAGGTGACCCGAAAATATCAGTCACACATTCTTGAAGATTTTTTGCAGAAGAGGAATTATGTAATGCCACTGAATATGACAGACGTTTGGTAAAACCCAAAGAGCCGTTTGTTACTCTCTGTCATGGTTATTATTTAAAAAATAGTGTGGGCTATTAATACCAAGATAAAGATAATGGCAATCAATGTCCCCATGATATCATGATGTTTTTATACCCTACACAATATTATAGCTTGTTGCAGCCCAAAAGTTTGTAACGCCGCGAAATGTTGATCCTAGACCCACATTCAAGTATACCGATCGTCATATCTCGACTAGCTGAGTCGATCTAGACATTCGTCCGTCTGTCCATTATAATTTGTAAACACGATACAGGCCACAGGCCAATCTTCACGAAATTTTGCAACAAGATGGGTTTGGCCAATGAAGACCCCTATTGTTTTTGGTAAAGATTGGATAATATTTAGTATGAAATGGACCAAATACCAAATACATAATTTTTGTCCGTTTTTCTGGTCACTCCAGAGGCCGCTATTATGGCCCGAACATCCCGAAATTTTACATGGAGAACGGGATCAGGCTAAATAATAGGCATGCCTGTTTTGATAAAGATTGGTCACTATTTAGCGGGTCAAATGGACCCTGAATTTTGTGTGAAAAATTACAAAATTTGTATTCTATGGCGTATATATTTGGATCTTAATGATCCACCCTGGTGATTGATCTCTTATTAATACAGATTTTTTAAAAAGTCATTTTTTTGTGTGGTTATTGCAACATTTTTATAAACGAATGCAGCCAACCTTGATTAGCGAAGAATTTGGTAGTATGGCTGGAGAGTAACCAAGGATAGGGTCAACCTTGCACTGGACCACCGATATGCTTTGAGGGCCGTAAATAAAGCGAAGTTCTCAAAAAAGGTCTATCGGAATCACGTTAGACGTCTGACTTCGAACTTAATCCTTTCACATTGAAAGTGACAACTTGCAAAGAACGTTGCCTTAATGTGACCCGAAAATATCAGCCACACATTCCTGAAGAATTTTTGCAGAAGTATACAAAGGCATTAAGTAATGCCACTGAATATGGCAGACGTTTGGTAAAACCCAAAGAGCTATTTGTCACTCTCTGTCATGGTGATTATTTGAGAAATAGTGTGGCCTATAAATATTAAGATAAAGACGACGGCGTTTTTTAAACATATTCTCTTTATGACCCACTGTGATGTTTTGTCCCTTAAGTCCCTTAAATAAGCATTTCTATAAAAAAATGTACTCAGGAGTCTATTATCCTAAAATTATATTTTTGTTTTAAATCCACGCCAGCGCTCATACCCTCAAATATATTTTTAGAAAATATACGATGGAGCTAAGCCACTGAACTTATTTTTTAAAAAATGTTCGGTGCATGTTGCTTTTTTATTTAAACTTTTAACTGTTGTATAGTTCTATAAAAGTTATTTTTGTATATCGCAGCAAATGAAAATAACTTAAACCATTGGAAATATTCATCTTTAATTTGTACTCAAATATATTTCCTCGCTCATTTAGATTCCAGCTTTATTTAAACAATCAACAGCGACATTTGTTTGCTGTCGAACATTCCTATACAGGTTAAGTTAGTTCGGAGCGAGATTTATTAGTCAAACTTTTTAAAACAACAACAAATTTGAGTTTTCCAATTGGAACTGACTCAGCTTTTTGTTCTAACAAGTAGCCAGGCCATATTCGCCTATATTCATTGTTGTAGCCGAGAGTGACTGTTTGGGCTTTATTTGTTGGATCTTTATCTAATGCTCCCCCTCTCTATTTTTCTCTCCCTCTCTCTCTTTGTCTCACTCAATTAAGCTTATCATAATACTAAATATCTACCTAATCCAAAAAATGTATTTTAATCAAATCTCTCTTCAGCTTGCCGAAAAACAAATTCAGTAGTTTTATGTTCGGCCTCAGTCGTGTCGCACGCGTCGTATTCTTTGTCGTCCGTCGAGTATTTTGAATCGTCTGTTTGTGTTTTTGTTAATTATCGAAAATTTATTTATTATGGCATCAACAAATGATATTAATCTGGAAATTGAATGGTTAAAAAATGAAATAATACCGAAATTATTAAAAGAACGAAAACTTATTGAAAATATTCAAGATGATAGGGATGTGGAGAACTTTAACATTTTGGATATACAAATTGATTTCATCGGTACGCAAGAGGCTTTTATGTTAACCATATGTTATAGATCCAAAGTGCGGTATGAATTCAAGGGAGACGAGTGTGAGGTGAATTTATTTGTGAAGGTGAATAAAAACTAAAAACATGTCTGAAAATAGAAACAAGTTCAAGACGAAGACGATTTGGGGAAGTATTTAAAAAATCAGAAGATCTCATGAAGCATTTCTATGGATAGAAGACCTTCTGAAAATCTTCTATGTATAGAAGACCTTCTGAAGATCTTCTATGTAGAGAAGACCTTCTGAAGCTCTTCTATGGATAGAAGATCTTCTGAAGCTTTTCTATGGATAAAATATCTTCTGAAGCTTTTCTATGCATTGAAGACCTTCTGAAGATCTTCTATGGATAGAAAACATTCTGAAGATCTTCTAACCATAGAAGACCTTCTGAAGCTCTTCTATGGATAGAAGACCTTCTGAAGCTCTTCTATGGATAGAAGACCTTCTGAAGCTCTTCTATGGATAGAAGACCTTCTGAAGCTCTTCTATGGATAGAAGACCTTCTGAAGCTTTTCTATGGATAAAATACCTTCTGAAGCTTTTCTATGGATTGAAGACCTTCTGGAGATCTTCTATGGATAGAAAACATTCTGAAGCCTTTCTATGCATAGAAGACCTTCTTAAGATCTTCTATGGATAGAAGAACTTCAGAAGCTCTTCTATGGATAGAAGACCTTTCGAAGCTCTTCCACATAAAAAAGATCTTCTGAAGCTTTTCTATAGCTAGAAGACCTTCTCAAGCGTTTCTATAGCTGGAATACTTTCTGAAACTTTTCTATATGACAAAAAGACTTCCTGAAGCTCTGTTATAGCTAAATGACTTTCTGTAACTCTTCAATGCTACCTGTAAATTAAGAACCATATGGAGTTTTCGGAAATTATCTGCTTGATAAAATGACCACTCACGTTCTGTTATCAGCTTGCGAACAGATTAAACATTTTCAAGCACTATTTGACGTGAAAAATCTTATCTGTGTAGTTACAACAAACACAAACATAGACCAAATAATTATTTGACATATTTTCGATTGTTTTCTTTTTTTCTTAGAAAACCCCACCATTACCTCAAGACCTATTTGATGCAATCAATTTCAAGGCCTTGTTTAGCAATGAAATACTCGGTTATGAACAAATTCTACCAGCCATTGCCGATTTTACCCAAGTTAATCTGAATGTGGCCAAATTTTATTATGCCAATTTGGAAAAGAATTCAGCCACATTGATTACCGAAGATTTTGGTAGTAACGGTTGGAGGGTGACCAAAGAACGGGTCAACCTTTCACTGGACCACACCCTGATCGCTGTGAAATATTTAGCCAAATTTCATGCCGCTGGATTTGCTTTGAGGACCGTAAATAAAACAAAGTTCGAAGAACTCACAAAAGGTCTGTTGGAATCACGTTACGCGTCTGACATCGAACATCATCCTTTCGTAGTGAAAGTGACAACTGGTAAAGTACGTTCTCGCAAGGTGACTCGGAAATATCAGCCACACATTCCTGAAGAATTTCTACAGAAATATGAAGAGGTATTAAGTAATGCCCTTGAATATGGCAGACGTTTGGTAAAACCCGAGGAGCCGTTTGTTACTCTCTGTCATGGTGATTATTTGAGAAATAATGTGGCCTATAAATATCAAGGTGAAGATAACGGTAATCAATGTCCCCATGATATCATGATGTTTGATTTGCAAACATTACGAGTGGCATCGCCCATGATTGATTTAACCACATTCTTGGGATTATCAACATTTGCCGAGGTACGTCATAAACATTTCCGGGAAATCTTTGAAACCTATTCTCAGCAGCTAAAGGAGTATTTTGAGGAATTTGCAAAAATGCCAGCACCGGAATATTTGAGGTAGATACTTTTTTTAATCACAAAATTTTGAACTGAGATAAAAGATTCTGACTATTTTGTATTTTCCTCTTTTCAGTTTTGATTCCCTAATCAAGGAATACATCCGCTGTCTGCCCAATGTGGTCTATACATCCTCTTGGTTTTTACCCGATTTAGTTGAACCCATGGACATATCCGCCGGTGAAATGTTAACTCAAGAGATTTCGGATGAAGAGATCATTGAAGATGCTATGCGACGAGGTGGTGAGGTTATGGATCGTGAATTGGCCCATCAAATGAAGGAATTATACGAACTTGCCACACAATACAAAGTTGATATTTGCATTTAAATGTTATTTAAAAAGTATTTAATAAATAAGAAACACACTGTGTTTATTTATATCCAGAAAATTGTGTTTTATCTATAAAAAAAAATTATGCGGTCTGGCATACTTAAAGATATTTGTAAAAGGAGGCTTTATCTCCCTCCATTTGAAATTTATTCGAAATCCCCTAGCTTTTCTATTAACTAACATCGGCATCAACACATGAGGATAACACAAGATAGCGCCACCTGGAGGAAAATTGCAACTCCGGAAAAGCAAGGACCCAAACAACACAACAATTCACTTGTCACACAGCGGTAGCATAGTGCAAACCCCAGAGGAAGAGAAAAAAATCATAAAAAGTGGTTTCCAAATAATTTTAAACAGAGGCTTACATGCATCTGAAGTCCCCATGCCATTTCATATAACCAAATTCGGCATCGATGTCAACACATAAGAATAACACAAAATAGGAATGGCAAGAGATAACGCCACTTAGAGGAAAATGGCAACACTAAATTAGCTAAGACCCCAACTACTGCACAGGTCAAAAAGTGGTAGCGTAGTGCAGAGCCAAACTATGGCTCCCCGCGCCGAATTCAGGGGGAAGAGAAAACATAATTTCGAAGTATTTTTCCAATATTTATAAAAAGAAGCTTACACAATTTTCCTTATGAAATACACACGAAGCACCTCGACATTTCTAATAACCAACCTCTAATAATAACATCGACACAAAATATGTATGACAGAAGAGCGCCTCCCAGAGCAAAATTGCATAATTAAATAAATAAATCAGGACACCAACTGCAAAACGTGGTAGCGTAGTGCATCGGGTAATGTGCTATGGGTCCCGGGACATATTAGAGTAAAACAGAAACTTGTATCCTCCTCCAGATGAAATGCATGCAAAATCCCTTGACATTTCCACTGAACATGTCAAACCGTAGTAATGTAGTGCAGTGGAAAGGAGGGACATTTTGGCCTTCAATGTTGGTTTTCGGTTTTCAAATACAAAATCTCGGCATCAACATCAGCACATGATGGCAACTTATGATCGGAATGGCAAGAGATAGCGCCAGAGGATAGAGGAAAATGGCAACATTAAATAAGCAAGGACGGCAATCACGCCACGAAATTAATCTCCGAATTGTTCCTAGGCAACGATAGATGGCAGTGCTAATGTCAGGTTCCCCGACATTTCAAATACAAAATCTCGGCATCAACATCAGCACATGATGGCAACTTATGATCGGAATGGCAAGAGATAGCGCCATTTATATGGAAAATGGCCACATTAAATAAGCAAGGACGGCAATCACACCACGAAATTAATCTCCGAATTGTTCCTAGGCAACGATAGATGGCAGCGCCAATGTCAAAATTACAGTCACATAGTATAAAAAATCAGGTTAGGATATTTATATGGATACTATGTCAACAAATTTTCTGCAAGGAGGCCTTAAAGCCTTGTAAGAAACCGAAATGTCAAATTATAACCATCTGCATTAGAAAAGAAAAAACCGATGGAAACCAACCAAATGGTACGATATAAATATATGTACGGATCATTTACCGGGTTTTTATTAGACAAGCGGGTATGATGAGCGGGCATCGTCTCTGACATATATTTGGAGGAATTTTAGATTTATTAAACAGTCTCCTTCAGGTAAAGGGTTTATTAAGATTACTCTGCGTCTATGGCTTTCGCATTAAAATCCAACCATTTCATATATTGTTGTATAAGCAAACGATTGCTTGTTTCCGAATAAAAATAAGCGTTATTGTCGTAGCAGCTCATATTGGTTACACTGAATCTGATGAAAATTCCCAACTGGATAATTGACGAGCAACGTACAAAGTCTCTCCTTCTTATTCGATTAGACCTTGAATCAGTGTCGATAATAATTGTTGTTTATATTCCAGCAAAGGTATGGTGGCCCCTGCTTGTTAAACGTTTCGATCTATCTCTAGGTGGCGTCACCTTCTGTGTTTCCTATTTTATGTTATCGTAATATGTTGATGTCGAATCAGGGATCATCGAATGAATAGAGAATGTCAAAAGGATTTTATTTAGAGGACATGCCATTCTCGGTACCAAAAACAAATGAATCCTATTGAAGGCGTGGATTTTTATACCCCTGGGATTGTCCCCATACATTACTTATTATAATTTTCTGGGCAGCTAAATGCAAACATATTAAGTATAGAGAGCGAAAAAGTGCAAATATTTTGAGCTGTTATCTTAAATATGCAGGTACGTATTGTGCACTTAAACGAAATATTTGAGAAAGTATCTGAAAAAAAACGTACCAAAACAGGACAGCATAATTCAAAGTGCAGTTATATACAAGGCAGCTAAATCAAAACTACTGTGTTATTGATATCGGTCCACCTTTAATGATATCTTTAATATAATTGCATTCCCCACTATTCGGTATATTGGACAGTTTGTTCACGTTGTTTAACATAATGGACTGTAATTTGGTACTTTGCAAATTTCTCTACATAAAATTATTGATATCGATCTACTTTGTAGGATGATTTTCCTATTTTGATGATTTTGGGCACATTTTTAACCGAATTGGCTCTAATTTCGTTCTTCTGACCTATTATTTTACCATTTTTATCGACACTTAGGAATGTCCCGAAAGATGACGGGTATTTTAAATGCCCACCTCATGGAGAGTATAACAAACGAATCTACTTGTTAACTGTGTGTTCCTATATATTTTATATAATATGGCAACCCTGAGAAATGCAAACTACAAAGAGCTAAAAATACTCACGCTACTCTCTTATCTGTAGTGTTAGGGGAATTCAGGAAATAAATATACATTGATAACAATAATCATGTTAGGTGTAAGGGGTTGAGAGAATTCTTCGTCGATTTTTTTGTTTCTTAAAAAACCCCTAAGGTTTCGGAGCGTAGCCATTAATCATAGCAACATGATTTGTAGGCTTTGCGGGAGGCGTGCAATACATTGTTATCTATTTTAAAAAATAAAACAATTGTAGATATAATCGAATACGACTATTACAGAAAAAATACAAGTGATCTAGTTGTGAGTACCCCTATTTCATTTCCACCATTCCGTTTATCTCACAATCACTGAGTAGATGAGTTCTGTTCCGAATACACAAAGATAACAACACGAATCGCATGGTGCGGCATTCAGTTGCATTCAAATCGACGGCCAGATACATTCGACGAGACGATCATTAAGTCACAAAGCCAACAAATAGACGGGATTTTTTTTTTATTTTTCTAAATTATCTTTAATTATATAGAGAAAAAAAAAACAATATTTTAAAAAATAATTAAAAATGGCATCACCATCAACGACAAATTCTATTGATGCGGAAGTGAAATGGTTAAAAAACGAAATGATACCGCGATTATTGAAAGATGGTAAATTTCGGAATACCAATGACGACATAATGGAGGTGGATAAATTCAAAATCAAAGACGTAACCGTACAATTTATTGGCGCCCAAGAAGCTTTTATGTTGACACAATGTTATCGGGCACGAATCGTTTATGGGTATGAGGGTGCCGCAGGTGACGAGGAAATAAAATTGTTTGTAAAGGTAATTGTGGGAGGAAATGGTTTATTTTAATAAATTAAGTGCGATTTGTTGTATGGTTAATAGAACAACAACATATTAAATTATTATATTATATGTGTGAATTTGAAAAGTTCGGATACATGGGTTTCGTGTTGGCAAAACTTTTATTCTGAAATCCATCTCAAAGTATGAGAGGGGAGGTATAAACTCTGATTTAAGTCCTTCTGTTCGGGATTTTCCAAATCACATTAACAAATATTTTCCAAGGCCTCCTACAATGTTGAAATTTTTACAAGCGGTAGAATTTTTTTGTTGATAATATTATTTTTAATTTTTCCACACACACATACAAATTATAAACTTGTTTTGTTGTTTTTCATTCAAAACAGTAGAGTGTTTTATTTTTATCACAACTAATCAAATAATTGTTAGTCAAACAAGCAGTAAACTATTGTGAGAAGAGTGAGCCATTGTATTTACACAAAACGTGCCATGACTTTGCACTTCGTGTAAGCGATGCATCAGTTTTGATTACACTGGGCGACAATATGTGGTATTTTGAAAGGAAAAAAGGAAACAAATTATCAAGAGGTCGTCTGTAGTTTGAAAAGGTCCACTTAAGATAGATAACACTTAGAACATATTTTCTAAGTATTGAAACAATCCAGCCCTATGAAAACATTAAAAAAAACATGGATTAAAAAGCATGGACTGCCATCTATCGTATCCTAGAAATAACGTCTCCTTGTGGTCCCTGCTTGTTAAACGTTGCGTAGCAAATTGGGTAGTAAATCTCTCTACATAAAATTATTGATATCGGTCTACTTTGTAGGATGATTTTCCTATTTTGATGATTCTGATTATTATATGTAATATGGCAACCCTGAGAAATGCAAACTACAGAGAGCTAAAAATTGACTACACTGGGCGACAAATATGTGGTATTTTGAAAGGAAAAAAACTGTGTAGAGGTTTTCAAGAGTGACAAATTATCAAGAGGTCGTCTGTAGTTTGAAAAGGGTCCACTTAAGATAGATAACACTTAGAACATATTTTCGAAGTATTGAAACACTTTAAAAAAGCATAGATTATTTAGAATATTTTTTTCGAGATTTTAAAAGGGAAAAGGCATTTATTTTCAAAAATATGTTTTCAGGTCTCAAACGAGACTTTGATTTTTTAAAAATATTTTTTGAGAGCTCAAACAAGGCTTGGATTTCTTAAAAAGTATTTTATTTTCAGAGCTCAAACTTTTTAAAAATATTTTTTCAAAGCTTAATATAGGAGTGGATTTTTTCTAGGACCAGCACAAGGCGTGGATTTTGTATACTCTACACAACTATGTTGTCAGGGTATTATAGGTTTGTGCAGCCCCAAGAGTTTGTAACGCCGCGAAATATTGGTCCTAGACCCACCTTTAGGTATACCCATCGTCATATATCGACTAGCTGAGT